TGGAATCCGAGCAGCACCGGGAGCAAAAGTAGGAACAGCAGGAGCAGCAACAGGAGCTGGAGCTGGACCAGCAACACCGGCAGCAGCAACAGCTGCTGCTGCACCTGCCGCATCTGCTTCATCTGCTGCATCTGCTGCTGCTGCTGGTGCAGCTGCAGCTGTTGCTGCATCCGCTGCTGTTGCAACTGCAACTGTTGCCGCATCTGCTGCGGCGGCTGTTGCTGGTGGTGCATCGTGCTTGGGCATCTCTCCCGTACCTGCTGTTGGGGGTGAGGGTGTGTTGGTTGTTTCCTCTGGTGGTGCAGCGGCCATTGATGACTGTTTGCTAACCCGCCTAGCAGCAAAGAAGAGATGCTTTCCCCTTGAAGCAGAAGACGATGAAGAAGACGAAGACGAAGAGGAAGAAGAAGAAGAGGACGAAGAAGACGAACTAACAACAGCTGACTGCGCCTTCGGATGCGAATCGTCGGCCCCATGAGCATGGCGGCAGCCACGCCCTGCCCTGTAATGCAGGCAGTGAGAAAACAGGAAGAAAATGAAATCGATGCAGCAAGAAATAGAAAAAAAGAAAAATACATTGCTGCAAAGGCGATCAGAAAAGTATATGAAAATGCAATCCATGCAACCAGAAAAAAAGATGCGGAAAGGCAGTGCATGCCGACATGGAGAAAGGAAAGAGAGAGGAATGCTGATAGATATTGAAAAAAAAAGAGAGAGCGAATGCATTGGAAACAGACAAACTCCCAGGCATGTGCAACACAACAAAGTAACAAAAGCTAGACGAACAACCGAAAACTGAGAGAGACTGAGACATATTGTGCATGCATTCGGAAACAAAGACAAACGCAGCAGCACAAATGAGCAAACAAGCCAACAGACCAACCTAGACAAAGATACATACAAAACAAACTAACAACCCCTACATACGAAATTCTAAGCGACCAATAAAACGAGACCCCAAACAATCCCTAAATACTAGACCTTAAACCCTAGACACGAAAAAACCCGTAAAAAAAAAACAACAGACAATCCATTCAGACAGGTGTAGCCAGAAGAAAGAGACCATAAAGACGAGCGCCGGAAAACAGCAAACTGACAAATAAATAAACCGAAAAAACGAGGGAGAAAACAATGTAACCCCAACCAAGAACCGTACAACAAAAAGATCAACCAAAAACAAGGAAATTGACATCGGCATCTACAGGCATCGAATGCCCATCCACTAGCCCCATTAGCACTGAAGCAACAGCAGCAGCAGTAGTAGAAGTGACGGCAGAACGAAGATGACGACTAGCATCAGCAGCATGAGGGACAGTAACAGGAGCAGCAGCAGCAGCAGCAGCAGTAGCAGCAAGAGCTGAGCCGAAGCTGCAGCAACTGCAGCAGCAGCAAGCGCGGCAACAGGATAAGCATGTGGAGGATGACGAGCAGCAGCAGCTGCTGCTGGAGGAATAGCGGCAGTGTCAGCAGAAGCATGGGGGGAAGCAGCAGCAACTGCAATAACCGTAGCAGGAGCAGCAGCAGCGGCAGAAGCAAACGAACTATCACCCTCCAAACGAACTATCACCCTGTGTCCTGTTCTGCTGCGTTGCTGTAGTGTTGATGTGTTGCATGCCAGCTTCTGTATGTACACCGTAGCATCTGTACGTGCTCCGTTGCATCTGTCTGTACACCGTGGCATTTGCCTGTACACCGTAGCACTTGTCTGTACACTGCAGTGTTACTACGTCTATACAGACGGGCATTTTACTGTACACCGTGCAAGCTGTGCGTACACCCGAATATCTCTCTGTACACCGTAGCGTATGTCTGTACACTGTAGCAACTGACTGTACACCGCAATGCTCATGTTTCCACCGTAGTACGTCTGCACCGTGTAGCAGCTGCGTATACACCCGAGCATCTCTCTGTACACCGCAATATCTATCTGTACACCGTAGCACCTGTCTGTACACAGCAGCATCTGCTTGTACACCTTTGCATCTATCTATACACCGGAGCATCGGTCTGTACACCGGAGCAACTGTGTGCGTCTCACTGTTGTCTTACCCGCATTTTCCCGCTAGCCAGAAGAGACAAAGTTGGGGTTTGTACTGATTGCTTGCAGTCCTCAGTTCAGCCTCTCCGTGTGCGAATCTGCAATCTGCTGCTGTACACTGCCCCCTCCTAAAGGAGACACAAAGCCTCGTCTTCCTCAGGTTTAGGGGCTGTCTTATCTCACTCTGTGCATGCGCATAACTGCAAAGGTGCCCATATATACATACACCCCTCTCAAAGAAATGGCACATCTTTGTTTTATAAAACCCCTCGCCCCCTCCTCTCCCCTCACCGGGGGATTGAGACGCACATACACCCTGATCGTTATCAACTCCGTCACCCTCAAACCCTAAACCCTCAGAATCACCACTACCCCAGCTGCAACTCGCACCACCGCTGCTGCTCCTGCTACGTGCGCATCCACTTCTGCTGCTCACACTGCTGCTGATACCCACGCTGCTGCTGTTGCTGCTACGGTCGCCCCCACGGCTGCTGTCGCTATGCAAGCGCACGTCCGACCCCCTTACGGGAATTTCCTCTTCGCCCTTACCCTGAGGGCAGCTGCTGCTCTCCCCCTTCCTCTCCTGCTTCGCTGCAGCCCCTTGCCGCTTCCCCTCCACTGCAGCAGCAGCATCAGCAGCAGCAGCAGCTGCTGCTGCTGCTGCTACAACTACTGCTGCAACAGGAGTCGTCTGATCCTTAGACGCATCAGCAGAGAGGGGGGCAGCCAGAGAGGCCCACTGGGAGTCGGCGCAGCTCCCCTCAACTGTACGCACAACGAGCATCATAAAAAACGAAACGCGAACAAAAAAGAAACAAGAACGTACACTCGAGAGCCTGACCAAGGCAACAACATACACTTCTGGGAAGAAACCCGTGCTGACAGCGCAGAAGCGGCAACAGCAGCAAGCACAGCAAAAGCAGCACCAGCA